AAGACGTCCGGTGCATTCGTGTTGAAGCGATGCACCGGTGTTCGAATCCCGCAGGCGCAATTTTTGGTCTCGGAGCTCGTCCACACATCTAAGCAATAAAAATAAATAAAAAATTGCACCGCTATTTAATGTTTATGGAGAATTTTAGCCCAACAAAAAATAGGATTTTATTGTAGCAGTGATTGCCTTGATATTACCCAGTTGCATGAGCCTACAAACACAAACAAATACAAGCTTCATGTGGCGATGAGTAGGTTACATAAGATACGAAATTCATTCGGCTGTTTGTCTGTGCGCCTGTACGACAAAATCCCACAAGATGTTCAGAACCTACGTATACATAGGCTTAAGAAAACTATTAAAGAACATCTATGCAATAAAGCTTACTATAATGTCAATGAAGATTGTACAAAGTGGGAATGAGTTGCTCGCTCCGGGCATTCCAATATTGCAATAATTGTTGTTATGTTATAATAATACATGTTGTAAAAATTAATATTAAAAAAAAAACTAATATTTAAAAAAAAAAGACATGCCCACTGAGTTTTTTGCCAGTTCTTCTAAGGATGGAGGCTAGTTTTTGTGATTTGGCGGTAGTTCTTTTTGACGTTCAAGAAGTGTGTACTTTCATTTAGTTCAATAAAAAAATATATTTGATTTGATTTAATTCATTGAAATAGAGTATGAATGTAGATGAAATATGATTAAACTCTAACTCAGTGGTGTAATTTGGGAGAGGCCCTAATCAAACTGTGGATCGATGCTGAACATGACACATTGATATAAATGAAATCTATTTCGTAAAAAATCTGTACTACCATTGAAATGTGTTAATATCGAAGGAATATTTTACTGCGGTAACGGAGCCCACTGAGCTTCTCGCTGGATCTTCTCAGTGGGTCGCGTTTCCGATCCGGTGGTAGATTCTGCGAAGCACTGCTCTTGCTAGGGCCAGTGCTAGCAACTGTCCCGGCTTGAGCCCCGTGAACTCTATTACTCGCCCGATTACGCTGATATAGCCTCTCAAGGCTATCAGCTTAGGTAGAGAAAAAAAGCCGTAATGCATAAACCAAAATTGGTGCTGACAAGAACTCAAGATTGATTAATACTGATTGTAACTTAAGGCTTTTGAAGTTCTGACGATGCGACTACGCCTGTATCAAAATCCCGTAAGCAGATACCAATACTCCTAATGTAACACGTACTTGACATATTTCATCATAACTTCAACAACGAGCGAATAGCATTTTGTAGTAAAAATCAAACTCGCAAAAAATGTGCTTTGCGTATAAGTGGTGGTAAGAAAATTAGCCCTCATTTCTCAAGCCGTTGTACTAAGCAATTGGGATTTAGTACTCATTTCTCGAGGAGAGCGGAGGAATTCAAGTTCAGAACTATATTTAATATATCGAGGGGTCAAAGGCTATTTGGTTTAAGGGATATGTTTGCAGATTTACAGCGTCATTTAGAGTCGTTTAAAGTTTAAAATTAAAAAAAAATTATCATAACAAAAACTTCTTCAGCTATTTAAATAGAGTAAATATAATTGAGGTTCAATTAAAAACATAGAATTATAGGTAAATGTCGCGTGTTTTTTTTTTATTGCTTAAATGGGTGGCTGAGCTCACAGCCCACCTGGTGTTAAGTGGTTGGTGGAGCCCATAGACATCTACAACGTAAATGCGCCACCCACCTTGAGATATAAGTTCTAAGAACTCAGTATAGTTACAACGGCTGCCCTACCTTTCAGACCGAAACGCATTACTACTTCATGGCAGAAATAGGCAGGGCGGTGGTACCTACCCGCGCGGACTCACAAGAAGTCTCACCACCTGTGACCCCCCCCCAGTAAGTTTTACCCCTTGACATAAAGTCTGGTATCACTTAACACAAGTGGGTTGTGACTCCGTTCACCTAACAATAAATTAAAAGGCTTATCTGACTATTATCCCTACGGGCACTGTAAGCTTTTCGTTTTTATTAAAAAAAAAACATACGGCTTACATTGTGATATCCAGCTCCTGGACTAGGTTGTTCGACGACTGGCTACGGAACGGTAAGTCAAATATACGAATTCCGTCTGTGCATATTCAGAGCTCAGTTATATCGGGGCGCTAGAATATTCTATGGATTCCCTTATTTGTTCACTGGTGACTGGTGATGCTTGAGTTCACTTAGATCGATCGCGGCTTTGTTTAATATTGCTCCCAATTCTAAAATATCGTCTTTGCATGTCTGCGGGCGTTTCGATTTAATTAACATAAACTGGGATGAGTCATTTAGATTTTCCCTCTGTCCTTATCTCACAGAAAAATTTTTTTTTAGTGCTTAGATGGGTGGACTAGCTCACAGAATACTTGGTGTTAAGTGGTTACTGGAGCCCATAGACATCTACAACATAAATGTGCCACCCACCTTGAGATATAAGCTATTAAGATTTTCCCTTTGTCGTTACCTACCTCACAGAAAAGTTTTTTATTTATTTATTGCTTAGATGGGTAGACGAGCTCCCTTACCACCTGATGTTAAGTGTTTACTGGAGCCCATAGACATCTACAACGTAAATGTGCCACCCACCTTGAGATATAAGCCATTTAGATTTTCCCTACGTCGTTACTCACAGAAAAGTTTTTTTTTTTTTTCTCTGTTTAGATTGGTAGATGAGCTTACAGACCACCTGGTGCTAAGTGGTTACTGGAGCCCATTGACATCTACAACGTAAATGCGCCACTCACCTTGAGATATAAGTTCTAAGGTCTCAATATAGTAATAGTATCTCAGTATAGTTACAGTTTTTCTCAGGAAAAACGGTACTTAATTGTGAAAAGCAAGAAACATAGCCTAACGTTCTGATGAGCACTTTTTCTATAACAAAGAAAAAACGGGTAATAAATGTGGATGAACTTCGTGTAATTGTCTAAGAAAGTACTTTAGTCTTATATACGGGCTAATAAGAGAGAATTTATTTTCAAGTATCTGTTTGAAAAATATCTACTCTAACCGTTTGGTACGAACAAAAAAATACATTAGACGTTGTGCTTGTGCGAGTCTACACTGGTTTGTTTCATTTTAGTTTACTTTCATTTTAATTGAGATGAAAGACTGACTTGTCCCTCGTTTGATTCGTTGGATTTAGTTCTGTGAGCAACCACAATATTGTCTCGGTAATTCTTCGAAGACGGTGATATTCGCGAAACCCGATGAGGATAAAGATCGTGCATTTGAACATGCAAAACCATTAAATTTGTGATTAAATTGTTTTATTTTCTTAAACGGCTTTTTACACGCTCATAAATTTCGCGGTAATTTTTATAGTCACAGATTATGTCAGATTATGTATCTGTGGCGGTCTCGAGTAGAATTTATACGTATACAACCCTATTTCATAAGTTATTACAAGCTAGCCTTACCACATTGTTAATCAGAGAGAAAAAAATAAAATGTAATCTTTAATTTTATTGTTTAAAAAATAAAATTAACTATTAAGATTTTTTCACAAAATTTAATAGATTGATGACAATGGTGATCATTTTATTTAAAAAAACGTCACTGATGAATTCTGATGTAGCATGGCAACCCACTGAATTTCTTGCCGAATCTTCTCATTTCTCCATTCGAATCCGGTGGTAGATTTAACGAAGCACTGGTCTTGCTAGAGTCAGTACTAAAAATGCTCTTTGGTTGAGCCTATTAGTTTGCATTTAATATAAAATATAAATTAAATAATATTATATAACGCCGATTTTGTATCATTAGACATCATACATACAAATATGTCGTCGAATCCAATACTAAGCTCTATGTAACATTTATATAGAATTAAATTTATATTATATATTTAACTGCTGGTAGGACCTCTTGTGAGTCCGCGCGGGTAGGTACCACCACCCTGCCTATTTCTGCCGTGAAGCAGTAATGCGTTTCGGTTTGAAGGGCGGGGCAGCCGTTGTAACTATACTTGAGACCTTAGAACTTATATCTCAAGGTGGGTGGCGCATTTACGTCGTAGATGTCTATGGGCTCCAGTAACCACTTAACACCAGGTGGGCTGTGAGCTCGTCCACCCATCTAAGCAATAAAAAAAAACATTTCATTTTCTAATAAAAGACCAGCAACTTATATTTTTGAAGAATGTGTTCAAGTATCGCGCTCTAAGCCCGTCGATGGCGATGTCAGCAGAAGAAGACACGCGTCGCGGGCCCGTGATACGTGATCTCACACTCTTATGTACACAGTGCATAGCGACGAAGCGGTTACATTGTTTTTGTATGAGATAGCTTGCTTCGTGATTGCTACTCAACTTTAGACACCAAGTCCAAAGGCTATCCATATAAAACAAAAACTCATGACAGTTTTGTACCAGAAAAAGGCAGGTTAAATAATACGAATGACCATATTGGTTTCATAAGACGCTCTGTGACTACTAAAGGTGAGCGCAGTATGCTTGTACATTTATTTTCTCTTCCCATGGTACGGCTGGAATTGCCCCCTGCTAGCTTTTTTTATTGCTTAGATGGACGAGCTAACAGTCCACCTAGTGCTAAGTGGTTACTGGAGCCCATAGACATCTACAACGTAAATGTGCCACCCACCTTGAGATATACGTTCTAAAGTTTCAGTATAATTACAACGGCTGCCTCACCCTTCACACCGAAATTCATTACTACTTCACGGCAGAAATAAGTGGGGTGGTGGTACCTACCCGTGCGGACTCACAAGAGGTCCTAAAACCAGTAATTACGCAAATTATAATTTTGCGGGTTTGATTTTTATTATACGATGTTATTCCTTCACCGTGGAAGTCAATCGTGAACATTTATTAAGTACGTATTTCATTAGAAAAATTGGTACCCGCCTGCGGGATTCGAACACAGTTGCATCGCTAGCACCGGACGTCTTATCCTTTAGGCCACGACGACTTTTGAAAGCTTTGTTACATGAAAGCTTTACTTGCCTTCGATGAAACTAATGGCAAGAGTTGTGATGGTGTTTGTTATTCTAAAAAGGGTGTTGGCCGCTTCATTGGCTCGCGTCCCCTTGGGGGCGCAGAGTATGGATATCATACTCAACACGTCGTTTTTTTCAATACGAAGTAGTTGACTACCTGTGTAATATTCTAGGCCACTAACAATAAATATCATTGTTATAAATACTGAACATGTTCTTAAAATAGGCGATGAATATTAAGCTGTCTGTCTGTCTTCATTTGCACTACGATCCCACACAAGTCAGCGGAGCTTGTCTCCGCTAATTACATCTTAGCCAGCCAAGGGACTTCCTCGACTCTACAAATCTGGCTCTTATACGTATAGCATAAAGCTCACATTTAAATGGCAGAACATTTCTAAAAATGTGGAGGCATAAGCCAGACAGTGCCATTACGTCACGGGATATAAATTTTGTGTCAGTGCACCGAAATGATAGCGAGAACTAAGTGCATTAGTACTGCCACCCAATTATCCTTATCCTGTCGGCTTTAAGTATGATTTTTGCTTGTAGGTTATCGGTTCAATGTGTGGTGGATTGAAGCTTTAGCGGGATGTCAATTGAATTGTCCGTAAAATTGAGTCGTGTGTGATAATTATTAATGAGACAGGTCATTAATTTTGATTGTTTCCTTAAGTTTCAATAACAAAGTTTCTGGACTAGTAGATCGTGGACTCTTATTTTTTATTGCGGAGACTTTTCGGTTATTTTTTATAAAAATTGTGCATTTGTTTTATATTACTCATTATTGCATGGTGATCTCTGATTGATGCATTGTGAATGTCAAGAAAAATAATTGAATGTTAAATGTTCATGGCTAAATAAAATCAATGCCTACTTAATAGATTTGCAGAAATCCGAGTCAATAGACATTGCAAAGTAAATAGTTTTGCCCACAATCAAATGAAGACTGATCTCAGCCCTACATAATGGAGGATAAGGGCTAAAAGATGAAGAAGTTTTACTGTGAAACATTGTTTAATGATGTCACTTCATTGCTCAGTCAATAAAACCATCAAGATTTTGACTTGCTTATCCACACATGTATTGTTTATTTATTTTTTAGATGGCCATTCATTTGTCTCATCACGAGCTGATGGCCCACCTAGTGTTAATTGGTTACCGGAGTCCACAGCCTTGAACAACGTAAATGCTGCCACCTACCTTGAGACATGATTTCTAAGTCTCAGTTTTTACAGTAGGTACAACGGCTGCCCCTTCCTTCAACCCGACACGCATTAAAACTTTACGGTAAAAATAGGCAGAATGGTGCTATCTATCACCTTTCTTCAATGTGGGAGCTATTCTTCAAGATAGCATGTTAAGTATGCATTACGTATTTTACAAAAGAGGCCAAGGGGGTTCGATTAGCTGGTTAGATCAAATTAAAAAGACACTGAACTCCAGGGTCAAGGTCAATGATTGGAGGAACAGAGGCCAAAGAAAAGTGCTAAGCAGAGATCACGACCCTCAGCACTGAAGAAGATAGTGCAAGGAGAAGGAGAGAATATAAGAAGTATTTCAAGAGATTATTTAGTACCTGCCTGCGATATTCGAAAACAAGTACAGTAGCTTACTGTTGGTAAGACCTCTTGTGAGTCCGCACGGGTAGGTACCACCGCCCCGCCTATTTCTGCCGTGCAGCAGTAAAGCGTTTCGGTTTGAAGGGTGGGGCAGCCGTTGTAACTATACTTGAGACCTTAGAACTTATATCTCAAGGTGGGTAGCGCATTTACGTTGTAGATGTCTATGGGCTCCAGTAACCACTTAACACCAGGTGGGCTGTGAGCTCGTCCACCAATCCAAGCAATAAAAAAAAGTAGCATTCCTAGAAACGAGCTTATCGAGCGTCTTATCCTTTAAGTCACTACACTTTACGAGGTAGACATAATCCTCATTTGACTCATTTTCACTAGAAGGTCAGCGGTCAGCCTTTATTTGATCCAATTGCTTGCGAAATATATAAGCTTAGATAACTAATACATCAAGGGGTAACGCCTCGTCTACATATTTGTAGCAAAAAAAAAATTACCTTCTCCAACCGTTTGGTATGTAGTCTTCGGAGCCAAACAAAATTGATACTTCTACTATAGGCATAGGTCTTTTATTTCGCAATAGGTAGTCACAATTCTCATTTTACTCGTTCCGGCTTAGGTCCGAAGGTCAGTGGTCAGCCTTTATATCATCCAATTGCTTGCAAAATATATAAGCTTAGATAACTAATAGGTACATCAAGAGGAAACGCCTCGTCTCCTTATTTGCCGCAAAAAAAAACCTCCAACCGTTTGGCATGTAGTTTTCGGAGCCATAAACAAAATTGATACTTCTACTATAGGCATAGGTCTTTTATTTCGCAATCTATTTGGATAGGGCACGTTGGGGAGGAAAAAAATGTCGCCGCGGACGTATAACAGCGTCCAATAAACACGATGGATGGCTCTCCTAGGGGCTCATAGATGATGCGATAACAATGACGTATGACGCGGTCATCGACGTGATGGTTCCATACATTTCCTATCATTTAAACTGAGCGGTGCTTTATTTAATTCGGTTTGCTTTGTAATCAAATTGTTTCAGAGAGTTAAATATATTTTTGATACGCTTTTGTTAGCTTCAGACGTATGTAATATAACTTGTTAGTTTGTTAGTATGTAACGGAATCTTGGAACATGATTTTGACCCCCTTCAAAACGTCGGATTAACTCGAAATTTGGTATACTTATTAAGGACCGATGAAAATTTAATATTAAAAAATAATTGAAATTCAACTAAAAAATGAAAAATAAATAATAATTGAAAAAACTAACAAAATAGTACGCTTTTATAGAAAATCCAACTAAAAAATAGAAAATAAATTTTAATATATTTTAATTAAAAATAGTTTAAGAAAAAATAAAAACATTTTTTTTTTAAACTATTATTTATTTATTGCTTATATGGGTGGACAAACTCACGGCCCACCTGGCGTAAAATGGTCACAGGAGCCCATAGACATCGACCCTATTAATGCGGCCGCCCATCTTGAGATATGGCTTCTATGTCTCAATTATTACACAAATTATACATATATGTTTTGCTCTAACCATATCTCGCTGTTTTCAATATTTATGGGATACGAAATTTGTCATTACGGCGTCTTAGGTACAATAAAATAATAATAAAATAAAGAATAGTAAAAACTTGTTTGTCACCGTTGCGATTTAAAATTCGTTGAAGCGAAAACGACACTCAAAAGGCGACCGTAAAAAGAGAGACAAAAATATCTATAGGATTTAGTGAGAAAAATAAGATAGAATAGTTGCGCAGCTTTCTTTTTTTTGTTAGATAAAACCGGAGCCAATTGACGTCACGATATGAGTTTCACTACCCACTTTGAGAGAGGTGGTCTAAATCTCAATTATTATATTGTTACACCCTCCAAACTGGATCGTATGTCGAGGTTGCGGGAGATATAGGCCGAAATGTGATACTGTGTGTTTCATTGGTGGTAGGACCTCTTGTGAGTCCGCACGGGTAGGTACCACCACTCCGCCTATTTCCGCCGTGAAGCAGTAATGCGTTTCGGTTCGAAGGGTGGGGTAGCCGTTGTAACTATACTGAGAACTTAGAACTTATATCTCGAGGTGTTTACGTTGTAGATGTCTATGGGCTCCAGTAACCACTTAACACCAGGTGGGCTGTGAGCTCGTCCTTCCATCTAAGCAATAAAAAAAAAACTTAGCATTTGGGATTTGCAATAATTAGAGCAATTATGCGAACCAACTTGCGTGTAGAATAGCGATTATTGATCTCTATTTGAAAGAGTGATCTCATGATGTGTCAACACGCTTACGTTTTTGTCGAGCTCTGATGCCGATAGCACCGGATGTGCCTTAAAAATAACACATACATTATTCTGAACAGAATCATTTTTCGCCATCCACAAAGAGGATTAAATTAAATAATAATGTAATCAGTAGCGAATCGATTTTTCGTTAACATATCGAATTGGCTCGTAGAATGAATTTTAAACGGCCTATTAATATGCAGAAGCAGTGCAACGAGATTTCATTGTAATCACGGTTGAGATAGTACTAACACTGCTGGGTATTGTTTCGTTGCTCTGGTTTGAAAGATCCCAAAATACCTACTAAGCATTATTTCTACGATGACACATTTGGGCGAGCTCTCGTGAATTCTGTCACCTGTTTTCTGGGACACTTCATATACATAAAGAATACAAGGAAGACGTCGACAAACGGCATTACTTTGTAATTTATGGAAACAATTTTAAATATCTCCAACAAGGCAATTACATTAAAAAGTCCGCTTTTAAAGAATATGCATCGCGAAGCCATAGTTGGTTCGTCTTCGAGCCGAAATGCGCTTCCAATTAAAATGCTAATTACGCCGCGTCCGCGAAGAAAACGTCCGCGGCGTCTTAGCCTAAGTACGTTGGAGCCAGAAGATAGTAGGTATGTTGTTGCATACACATAAACCTAACAAAGAGCATGATTAGCACGATTAGTGGGAGAAGATCAAGCAGACGCTCACCTACCCGCTGGTCAGATCTGGTAAAGACGCTCACCGGCTCACCAATAACCGAGGCTATAAAGACAGGAAGACGTGAGGAAACTTAGTGCATCGCGTGATCAAAATTTCAAACTAGACACGACCTTGACACAATGAAGAGACCTTCACAATGAAGAGATCGATTCAGAAGAAGAATTATTAGCATGAATAAAACCTTTCGAAAGAAGACGAAATCGTCGAGAAAGATCATAGAATTAGCAAATCGAAGTACCAGTTGGCAGATCCTATACCACCAACCAAAATACCGGTCACTAAAGCAGAGGAGGTTTTAAATAAAGACAGCGGATAGACCATACGCAGTCTGGGGCCCCTAGTAATAGATAAACTAAGAAAGACCAACAGGCAATGAAAGACCAAAGTTGAAAAAAAAAATGACACAGCTCTACAAATAAATTAAAAAAATGTTGTATTAAATAATAGAGAAATCTAAGAATAAAAAAATAAAATATATAGCCGACAACTGAGGTAAAACAGGATTATAGTAAGAGTGAACCACTTGTGAGGATTGTTTTTGTGAATTTTGTTTCACAAGGAATTTATATTAAATTTAAA